CTAAGTAAAATTAAGCCTCACTTTTAGAACTCTCAACTGTCAGGGTTTTTTTTTCTTTTCAGTTTATTCAACTGCTCATTTGAGGGCAGGTCCACCCCCTTCTCTCTCAGGTGAAGTTTCTCATCCCTGCTGGGGTGTAGCCACGCTGTCTCTTGTCCCTCCCAGGTAGCTGGAGGGCCTTGTTTCTGATATATCAATGGATTTTCATTGTCTTTCAAGCTACTTTGGAATTAACTGCCTGGTGAAGAAACCACATTCCTTTGTTCAGAGTGGGGTAATACCTGTCTGACTGGAAACATATTTGTGCCAGGGCTAGAATATTTTTTTTAAAATCCTGACATTTGAGAGTTGAATCGCGAGATCGTGAGCAAGGTTTCATTTTCCTCACAAGTCGCGTCTCTCGTGATCCATTTGTGAGGTGGTATGTCTGTCTTTCCTTTCAAAAAACCAGAGGTCACTAGCACACAGAGCCTGTGCAGGAACAGGGCCTTTACCACCAGCCCACTGCAGCCTCATAAATATGGTCTTCGAGCCCAGGTCCCAGTGCCTCATTGTGTTCCTGCTAGGTGTATTGCTGCCTTCTTTCGGCTGGGTGGCTCCCTGGTGGTCTTTTGTATTGATCATACACCCCATAGCTTCTGACTCCCCTACATCCAGCCGGCTAATGGGCATGCAGGACTCCAGTCACAAACGTGTGAAAAAGCAGGCTAATGAGGACAGAAGGTAGAATATTGCGGCCCAGAGAGGAACAATTATTCCATTCCCCTACCCTAGGGTTACCATATCTAATAAATAAAAAAAGAGGACCCTCCACGGGCCCTGGCCCCGCCTATTTCCCCACCCCTAGCCCCGCCCCAACTCCGCCCCCTCCTCCCTCCCACTCCCAGCCAGGGGGAAAGGGCTGCCCCAGCGCTACCGGCTTCAGGGTTTGCCGGGCAGCCCCCAGACCGTGCGCCCCCGGCCGGCGCTTCCCCAGCACAGCTGGAGCCCGGGAGGGGAAGCGCCCAGCTGGGGGCACAGGGTCTGGAGGCTGCCCGGCAAACCGTGAAGCCGGTAGCGCTCGGGCTTTGGGCAGCCCTACTGCCTCCGGACCCTGCGCCGCCGGAGCCCGGGAGGGGAAGCGCCCAGCTGGGGGCACAGGGTCTGGAGGCTGCCCGGCAAACCGTGAAGCCGGTAGCGCTCGGGCTTTGGGCAGCCCTACTGCCTCCGGACCCTGCGCCCCCGGCCGGGCACTTCCCCTCCTGGGCTCCGGCGGCGCAGGGTCCGGAGGCACGGGGGGTGCCCGAAGCCGGTAGCGCTCGGGCAGCCCGGCTCTTAAACAGAGCCGAAGAGTCGGGGAGGAGCAGAGCCGCCATTTTCCCGGACATGTTCGGCTTTTTGGCAATTCCCCCGGACGGGGGTTTGACTGCCGAAAAGCCAGACATGTCCGGGAAAAAGAGGACGTATGGTAACGCTACCCTGCCCCATCTTTGTATAGCTCCCCCTGGTGGGGCACAGCGTGGTAGCTATATGGGTGCTGGGAATAAAGCACTACTTCTTGACCAACCTTTATTCATCCTGGAGTGCGTCACCTCCATGCCGCTCCTGAGCTGATTAAACCAGGACTCAGATTTTAAAACAGAGGAGACTGACTCTCTTTATAAAATAAGTGCTGGAGAATGGGGGTCATTTGCAACAAGACATGATATTTCTAGCCCCAGGTTGGCTCCAACACAGCAGAATGCTGGGGCCCAGTTGCAGACTGGTGAAAAACTGGGGTATAATTAGGAATGAAGCATGATAGTCCAGCACCAACACACACAACAGGTTATGGCCCAGTTCTAAACCATTATGGGTGAAATCTTCGTCCTGCTGAAGTCAATAGGAGTTTTGCTGTTACTTTCAACGGAGCCAGAATTTCACCCTATTACTCCACTAACCCCTAAAATGCCATTGTGTGGATCCCCAGGTAGGGCACGACTTGAAATATATGGATGTAGGGAAGCAAACAGCCCCTCTTTCCCCACCTCTCCTCACAAGAACCATCCCTGAGAGTGTCAACTCTATCCTCTCTACTTGGTCTATGTCTAACGTAGTGTTCAGATCCTTCCCCCACCAAAGCAGCACTCAGATTTTAAAACTGGGACATTGGTTTTGCTCCTAATAGAACTAAAAGTGGGGTAATTAGGCAGCAGATGGAATGGTCCCAACTCAGGGTCAGCTCAAACTCAAAAACAAATGCTCACCTGGTAGAATATGGGGACTCAGTCACAGAGCTGGAAAAACCAAGATAACGAGGACTAAGAAAGGAGTCAATGCCACTGTCAGTTCAACCCAAAAACGTGTGTCAAATCACACAAGCTGAATGCTCTGCTGTAGGACCAATGCCCTCTGTATTCCTCAGGCCCAAACTCGGAACAGACCCAGCATCTGCAACTTAACAGAAATGCATTTTCCAGGTGGTGCTATCTCCCTTTACTGATGTGATTGGGGGGAGGGGGGGAATTGGTTAAATAGAAAAAGAGATGAACGGAGTCTCTTGTTCTTCGCCCCCTCTGCAAATACATGTAGACTGGAGATACAGGGTTTGTTAAGGTATTGGCAGCTTGGCACAGCTCCTCAGGATTCCTGGGTGAGTGCAGAGTTGTGAGACTCCGACCTCCTGTAATAGCTTTCGTATAATGCAGGCATCAGGGCTTTTTGGACACAACTAGCATGTTAGCTGCTGTATTACTTTAGTAATTGAGGGCATCAGGAAAGCGATCTGCTGGTGCGAGGCCCAGGCAAATGCACCAAAATAAATCCCCCACTTTTCTAGTGGGTTTCAAGTCAAGATGTCCAAAAACAGGTGCCTAAATAAGGACTGAGGAACCTAAATACGGGGCCTGATTTTTCAGAGGGTAACGTCTGCACTGCAGCTGGAAGCAGGTTTGAGCTAGCGGGCTAAAAATAGCAGTGTGGGTGTTGTGGCACAGACAATGGCTGGGGCTAGCTGCCCAAGTCCAAGGCCACCTGACCCCCTGGGTCTGAGCTCAGGTGGCTACCCTGAGCCTCCGCCTGTGCTGAAACAGCCGCACTGCTATTTTTAGCATGCTCGCTCGAGCAGCGGTAGCGCGAGTCTGTCTACCCAGGCTGGGATACAACTGCAGCGTAGACATACTAAAACACTGAGTGCCCAAGCAACTTCCACTGCAATACATCGGTGTGACTGGCTGCTCAGCAAAGAGAGACGAAGTTCTGAACTATTCCACCAGACTCACTCCATCATCCCCCAAACGCCTCAGCAGGCTGTCAGGTGACAATACATGCAGCCAATGAAATGGCAAGAAGCATTATATCCGAGTCAACTCTCACTGGCGGATTGTACACTGAGGAGGTTGGGAAAGCTACTTTGTCAT